TGATAAAAGATTATTTATTAGAAAAATAAAAACATTATTTATGGATCTTAACTTAACAATTTGAACTATTAGGCGAGATAATTATTTATTATGATATCAGAGTATTTGTGATTACGAGATTTTTGGAATTTTTTGTGAGAGGTGTTATAGAAATTGTTATGGACTCAAATACGAGACCCATTTAGTATATGACCCAATAAGGAACAATTCAAATATGAATATGATATAATCAAAGGAGAATATTAATCAAAGTTATCAATTTTAAGACGACAGTATCTGACTTCGGCTTGGGCTGCTAGAAGAAGTACAAAAGGTCCATAATTCCAATACCGACCGGTAAACTCTATAAATAAGAGGTAAAACCTATATGTATGAATTATTCTCTCTCCCTTTAATGTTATGTTGGCAAAAGTCATTTTCCTTTTACTTGTGCACAATGATCTGCCATACTCAAGAGTATCTAATTCATAAATACCTCAGAGAGAGAACCTAGATCTAAGATAAACTCACTAGTCCTTTGAGCTAGATATCTCTGTCTTTAGGACAGAACAAATATATAATATAAAAAATCATTGATAAGTCTTCACTTAACAGCTTAGCTGATAGGGGTGTTCATCAACCGATTCAAACCGCGGTGACCGAACCGAAAAACCGATAACTGAATAAACCGAAAATCGAAAAATCGAAAACCGATTAAAAACCGCAAATTTTAATTGGATTGGATCGGTTTTTGGATGGGTTGATGAAAACCGATCCAATATATTAATTCCTCTCTACCTATTGGGTCTTTCCCTAATCATAGCCTAAAAATTTCTAAATCTAAGACCCATTAGCCCATTAACTAAACCCAAAAAAAAATCTAGTCACATCTCATCAACAAAATTTTATCTTTGTAGAGCTTCATATCTCATTACCAAAAAAAAAAAACTATATTATAGTTTATTAATGCTTTTGTATTTCAAAAAAAATTAATTTACAAAGTCAATATATACAAAAGATGTTATTTGCACAATAATCATGAAATAAATTTTAGGATTTTAAAAAAACCGAAAACCGATCCAATCCAAACCGAAAAAAATTGGATTGGATCGGATCGGATTTGAAAACAAATCAAAACCGAATGGAGGATTATATGATCAAATCGAAGGGATTGGATCGGATGAATTTTGCTTCCAAAACCAATCCAATCCAGACCGCTAACACCCCTATTAGCTGATAGATTAGATGATTGTTTATCAATATTTTACGTTAAAAAAATAGAGTAAAACCCCATTTTGGGTCCTTAACAAAAAACACGGTCTCCACTTTTGTCCCTTAATAAAAAAATCAACTTTTGATCCTTCTACAATTCCAATTCTTTGAAAATATGGTCACTCAAAAATTCAATGAAGATCCAATTTAGTCTCTAAAAAAGGATTGATATGAGTATTTTTTTTGTAAAGGATAATAGTGGGAACCGTATTTTTTATTAGCGAACCAAAAGAAGCTTTACTCAAAAAATAAGGCAAAAAAATTTATTTAATGCTTTTAATAAATTAATTACGCATTTATTATAGTTTTGGAAATAATTACACATTTATTGCACAATAAGACACCCATTTTGGGCGACACCAATGACGCCTAAATTGTGCGTCACTTATCAAGTATTGACACGTGTCATATTTTTAAAAAAAAAAATAATTTAATCATAAAACTTCTGAAGACCATAACTTTTGACTCGGGTATCCAAATCAGGTAATTCTTTTTTTTTTGATTGATTCCACATAACTTTTTGAGATCTACGCAATGACATCTCATTTGACATATTTTATTTCTCACAAACACAATTTAAATTTGCAAAAATGGTATTATAAGAGCGGTAAAACTCAGAAACCTCTGAGTTCTGGATTTGTGATTTAATATAAAAAAATAAATAAAATTTTGATTTGTGATTTAAATTTTTTTTATAATAATTTTTTTTATTATAACAAAATTTTGGTTTGTGATTTAAATTAAAAATAAAAATAAAAATTATTATTAATAAGGAAAACAAAATAAAGATTTCATTTGTGATTTAAACTAAAAAATCAATTTGAAAATTCTGTAGAAATAAAGGAAATGATTAAATAAATATTCTAAATCTCTAAGGAAGAAGGATATTATTTTTGAAATTAACGATTAATGCTATAAGTTTCTGGGTTATCATTCGTGGTCTGAAATTAATGATGGCTTATGAATATTTTTCAAAAATAAAACTACCTAAATTAGGCGTGATTGCCGCTTGATTGAAACTCAATTTAAACGTGATTGGTGACGTGTCAGGTGTTGACACGTGTCACATTTTTAAACTCAGAAGCCTCTAGTTCTGGGTTTGTGATTTAATATAAAAAATAAATCTAGGTTTGATCTGATGTGTGATTTAAATTAAAAAAATAAATTTTTTTATTTTTATTATAAAAAAATTTGGTTTGTGATTTAAATTAAAAATAACAATTATTATTAATAAGGAAAACAAAATAAAGATTTGATTTGTGATTTTATTTTTTTAATTTAAATCACAAATCAAATATTTATTTATTTTTTATATTAAATCACAAATTCAGAACTCAGAGGCTTCTGCGTTTAACCGCTCTTATAATATCATTCTTGCAAATTTAAATTATATTTGTGAGAAATAAAATATATCAAATGAGATGTCATTGCGTAGATCTCGAAAAGTTATGTGGAATCAAAAAAAGAATTACCTGATTTGGATACCCGAGTGAAAAGTTATGGCCTTAAGAAGTTTTATGATTAAATTATTTTTTTTTTGAAAAAAAAAATGTGACACGTGTCAACACATGATAAGTGACGCCCAAATTTAGGCATGATTGCCTCTTGAGTGACGCCCATTTTAGGAGTCATTGGTGATGCCAAAATGGGCGTCTTATTGTGCAATAAATGTGTGATTATTTTTAAAACTGTAATAAATGCGTAATTAATCTATTAAAAAGTATTAAATAAATTTTTTTGCCCAAAAAATTATAATACTCGTCATGATTAAAACACGAATTCGCTTGGAACATATAAACTACAAACAATAATAAGGAATGTTCAGAATTGTACAGGAGTGAAGAAACAAAATCAAAAGAGAAAGGAATAGAAGAGAATAATTAAAGGGCTAAATAATGAGATTTCTTTTCTTTTGTTGGAATGTTTACATTTTTTTGAAATTCTTCAAATAGATAGAACATTGAAATTTTCTTAAAAATAATTAAGGAGTTTTGAAATATCACAATTTCTTTCATTTATACTGTAAAACTCTGCAACAGGATGAATGCGCGCTTACTTGAAACATTGTGTTTTCCTTCGTTTGCATTTTAACGTATCCTAATTTCTAAGACATTATTACATTAATCTAACCAGTTATGAACTGCAAAGTTTAGATCGGTTAAATGATTTTTTTGTTGGCCTTGCATCACTTACCTTTGTTTATATCAAAGTTTGTTATGACTTATTATAATTGTAAAAAAATTTAAAATATTATTTACATTAAATATTTTTTTATTATATATGACAACATTAGTTAAAAAAGTTAAATTCTTTTAATAATATTGGAATGCATAATATATAATGAGAACATTTTTTTTTCTTTGATAAACAAAAAGGCTAAAAGCCTCAAACAAAACAAAGAGGAAAACAACAAAAGAAAACTACCCAAGGAGTGCCAGAGCACGCTCCCTTCCTATAGAAGCAAGATCACCCATAATCCCATATATAAGTGATGAAAACCATATGGAGGTTGACTAAAAAACCATCGATCAGCTTGCTCAGAAGAATCTAATATAAAGTTAGCTAACAGGTCTATGCGCACGATAACATCTTTATTATGAAACAAGAATTAAAATTAAAAATAATTATTTATTACACAAATCGATTCTCATGTAAATTTCCTAAAGAAGAAGGTTAAATTACTTATTTGATTTTTGTAATTTTACTCTAAAGAGGATACAAATCTAATTAAAAGCAACCACTTTACAATTATATATATTATTAAAATTTATATTGTTAAAAACAACATAGACTCATGGTCTGTTTAAATATAATTTTGGTTTTTATTTTTAACTTTTTTGAATATAAATTTTAAAAACTGATTTTGAAAATAAAAGAAAATAAAGCTTGTTTAAATATAGTTGGATTTAAAGTTGTAAAGTATTTAAAAAAGATCATTAATAAATTTACATAATTATAAAATTACCATCGCAAAGTAATTTAAAATTAAAAAAGATTAAATTTATTTATAAAAATTTCATGAATACATTTTTATAATTATAAAATTACCACCACAAAAATAATACAACCAAAATAATATTTTTTAGAACATCCATAAGTTGTTCTTCATTTTTAGTTTTAAAAGTTAAAATCATTGTATCGAGAGACATTTTTATTTGTACGACCATAAATAAAATGCACTCTCAAATATTCTGGTCAGAGACAAAAAGAAGTAGGAGGGAATGCGTATTAGAAATATTATGGTCAAATACAAAAAAAAAAAAAAGTGTAGAAAAACTAAATTTAATTTTGAATAAAACTATAAAAACCAAATCATTAATTTATTAAGTTATTAAGGAGTTGAGAGATGTAACTTCCAATAACTCTCACCCTAAATATACGTATTATAAAATGTCTATTCTTCCACACCAAACGATGTGCCTCATAATATAGAACTAGTGTGTCGTTTCTAAAATTAATCAAAACAGATGGAAGCTTCTTAATCATAGGCGACAAAAATAAGTACTACCTTAATTTGTTCCCTTTTTGAAAACAAACTTAAAACATTAAACCAAATGTACCAATCAAAACAATGGATGAAAAATAGGAATTATGGCATTTATCTCATGCCTTGATTTCTAACTGCAATTCTCATTTATTCAATTTAAAATAAGAAAAGATGAGTCCTGTCTAGAAAGAATAGTTTTTCTTTTGAGTCTTCAAAATATAAATATAAACATAAACGAAAATCTTCTTGCTGAATAAGGAAATCAAACAAGTAAATCAAAGCCTCCTTCTTCTGTGACACATGAACCCAAAGAGCTTTTCTCAAGTTGTTCTCCTTCTTCCTCCTCCTCTTCTCTTTCTTCTTCAACAGGATCAGAAGATGTGAGCTCCTTAGCTCTTCGTGCTTGATCTTCCCACTTTGTCATTCCCAATACGAATATCATTGTCATCATGCAAGAGCCTTGAGCTGCTAACATACCAAACCACAAGCCTTTGAAGTCAAAACCTGAAAAAAAACTCAACCACACAGCAACAGGCATTCCCACAAGATAGAAGCAACCTAAGTTTATGTTTGCACCCAATTTCGGCCTCGCTGTTCCTCTCAGAACACCACAAACAGTTGTTTGAGGACAGTTTCCAAGCTCACAAAGTCCAATGATAGGTAACACCATTGAAGTTAAAGCAATGATATGTGCGTCCTTTGTGAACATTGAAGCCCAAACCTTCCTCACCAAAAATGCAAACACCGACGCAGATAGCCCCAAAACGAAACTTAAACAAAGGCCTACGTTTGCTGCGAGTTTTGCTCTCTTTGGATTCTCTGCACCCAACTCGTTTCCAACCCTTGTGGACACCCCAAAGCTAAGGGAAGATGGAAAAATGTATATCAATGCTGTTGTTTGAATCAAAACCCCCATGGATGCAACACTTGCATGAGGATTGATCAATAATCCACACAGCAACGTCATGATTTCGTACCACCACCATTCAAGGCAAACCGAAATGCAGCTTGGAATTGCAAGATTCAAGAGTGCTTTCCAACCTTTGAAGCATCCCCAAGAAATACCTGGCCATGTTTTCTTGTGTGTTCCTGACACCACTATGTAGATAATCAACGAAGCCACGAGGTTGAAGTTCGTCCAAACAGCGCCTAAAGCGATGCCTTTGATGCCAAGCTTGAGCACAGAGACAAGGAGGTAATTGATGGGAACATGGAGAATAATAGAGAGAGCGGCACAACATGTAAGAGGCAGGGTTATGGATTGGCTTCGAAGGTAGATTCGCAAAGGGTGTAAAAATGATTGTGCTACGAGATCAGGAAGTGAATACATAATGTAAAATTGAGCTTCTTTGGCTATATCTTCTTCTTGACCACATAGGAGCAATATTTTCTTCATGTTGAGCCATAAGAATGCTATAAAAACTGAAGTTAGAAGAAGAAGAAGCACCGTCCTCTGCATCACGAGGCCAAGACGTTTGAATTTTTTGGCTCCAAAAGATTGACCACAGATGGGTTCCATTCCCATGGCAAGGCCAGAGAGAACAGAGTAACCAGTGATGTTAGCAAACCCAATGGCTAGAGAACCACCAGCAAGAGCAAGCTCGCCAAGGTGACCAAGGAAGAGCATGGAGATCATTGAACGAGAATAGAGTAATAGGCCAGTGAACACCATAGGCAATGCTATCTTGGCTATGCACTTGGCTTCATTGAGTGCCTTAGACAAATAGGTCTTATGTGAATTTTGGCTTTCTTTTTGACATGTTGGGGATTTTGGGATCAAAGTTGTGAACATGTTGGGCTCCTCTATTTCGTTTGTGCATGTATTTTGTTGGCCCTCATTGCTTTCACAGAAAGTGGAGTTAGAGGTTAACTGGCACATGTTACGAAAGTTTTTTCACACACACAACACAACAGACAGAGAGATTGGGTAAATTTTTGCACTTTGCAAGAGTGTGTAGCAAGTGGGGTTTAAAAGGAGATGGTTTGTGTTAGTTATTTTTGGAATGTACTACATATATGGAATATGGAGCACTGTGCATTGCCACTTATGGAAGTTGAAGAAGAGAAGGATAGAGTGGACAGAGCACTAACGTTAGAGTCTCCACTTACCCGATCAAATGATTGGCAAAGGGTTTTCAATATTCAGAGCGTCTTTTTATGACCGAACAATACAATTATCAGGCCTGCAAACACAGAATGGGATGAGATGTAGTGGCGAAGGCAAAAATGCACTAATCTTGCAAGTAATACAAAATAAAAAATAAATGAATCAATTCAACCAAATAATGAGCCAAACAATATAAAAAAGAAAATTGATTCAAAAAATGTATTTAAACAATAATATCCAAACATAAATTGATTAGCTCATGCATGAATCATATCTATCTAACCTTAATTTTCTTTTATAAATTAAATTATGTGAACGGTTTTCGAATTGGTGTATCCAAAAGAAGAGACAAATTTATGTTTGGACTCTTTTAGTGAGAGGACCCGTTCCAGAGAAGAGACAAATTTATGTTTGGATTTTTTAAGGAGAGGACCCGTTCTGAATATAAATAGTAGTTTGACTTAAATTTTAATTAAAGTTTTGGGTTTTAATTTATCTTATTCATGTGAAATCAATGCCGTGTAGGTATTTATTAATAGGAATATAAATTGAAATTTAAAATTCTTGCTTTTTTCCCAACAATTACGTTGCTCCAAATTGAACCCTAAATAGGCAAATTGTAATTATGAAGATTTTAGAATCTGCTACTTAGGCTTTGTTCCGTTTATGGAAATGAGGTATTTGATTTTTGTTGTTTACTTACCCTTATATTGCATGAATTTTTTTAATTAAATATATTTATGAATATGAATTTTTTGTTTAATAAATAAATATTTAGTATGTGTTTGAATAAATTTATTTTGATTTAAAAAATATATAACTAAAATATTTGAAAATAATATTCGGTTAAAATAATCAAACATAGTTATAGTCTCATAAAATATAATAAAGAAACTTATATTTAAAATCTTAATATTATATGATTGAATTTCGTTATATTTATTTGTAACAAATAGATTTACTTTTAAACTTTATATACATAATTTGAAAAACATCATTATATTAATTTTTATAAATTTTAGTTTAGTTCTCAAATCATAAAGAAATATTTATAATTATTGTTACTTATCTCTTTATTACAGAAAATAATTTCATAACTTAATCTTAATTAATTTTTTATAACTTTTCTTTAAATACATCATATATTAGAGATAAATTATTCTGTCTACCCTTATTTTTCCTACTTGCCTGTCCCTTTTAATACTGTTAGATTACAATCTCATCTAATGATGGAGATTTACTATATAAAATAAGAAAAAGTATTTCTCCAGTCACCGGAAATAAAGATATCTCCAGTGAGCTCACAACAATGTCGTTTTCGGTTATAAGATTAAAAAATTATAATATAAAGACAAATATAACCCTGCAATATATTATAATTACAAAAATACTTTGATTTCCGCCCTAAAACTAGGAGTGTTCATCAACCGATCCAAACCGATTCAAACCACGGTAACCGAACCGAAAAATCGATAACCGAATAAACCGAAAATCGATAAACCGAAAATCGAAAAAAAACCCGCAAATTTTAATTGGATTGGATCAGTTTTTGGATGAGTTGATGAAAACCGATCCAATCCAAACCGATCCAATATATTAATTCCCCTCTACCTACTTGGGTTTTCCCCTAATCATAGCCCAAAAATTCTAAACCCAAGACCCGTTAATCCATCAACTAAACCCAAGAAAAAATCTAGTCACATCTCATCAATAAAATTTTATCTTTGTAAACCTTCATATCTCATTGCTCAAAAAAAATAAATTATATTATAGTTTACTAATGCTTTTGTATTTCAAAATAAAATAAAATTACAAAGCCAATATATACAAAGATGTAATTTGCAGAATAATCAAGAAATAAATTTTAGGATTTTCAAAAAACCGAAAAATCGTTCCAATCCAAACCGAAAAAAATTGGATTGGATTGGATCGGATTTGAAAAAAAATCCAAACCGAATGGATGATTATATGATCAAACCGAAAGGATTGGATCAGATGATTTTTTTTCTTCCAAAACCGATCCAATCCAGACCGCGAACACCCCTACCTAAAACGACGTCGTTTTGGGCTTACCGGAGATAACTTATCTCCATTGACTGGAAAAATCATTTACCATAAAATAAACTCTTTTACTCATTTATCTCTTGCATTGCCTCTCATTCTTTCTCTTACCTCCATTTTCTCTCTCTTCAATGCGCTTCAATATAAAAAAAAGGTGCAAGCTTTTTTCTCAATTCATCAACCCAACCATTGTTATGAGCATTTACATATTTAGATAAAATAAGAGAGGTAGACAAAGGTAGGTAAAATAAGAGTAGACAAAATAACATATCCCAATTAAAAATCAAATTTTAAAAATATTATTAAGTAGCACTACTAATAGATATATATATATATATATATATATATATATATATATATATATATATATATCACATAATTTTGAATTTTATTTTCTGGTTTTAAAATATAAATATTGATTTATTTCTTTCACTCATGTATATTACTCAAGTCATATATATTACTCAAGTCACCATTTACCAAACCTATAAGAGGAGAAGCTTGAAGCCAGTCTTAGTTTGATATTATTTAAATTGTTTTGAAGTATTAAATATTTTAAAAAAAATATTATTTTCTTGACCTTATTTATGTTTTCAGCTATGCAATTAATCAAACCAAGACTTTGGTGTTGCTTTTAATTGCATGCATTTAAGTTTGCCAATTATTCAAACCAAACCGACTGATGAGTTGACTTATTTTCTATAATTCTCTCTGGCTGCTTTTAATATGTCCTTTAAATTATAACATTTTTAAATGAAAAACAATGTAGTTATAATATATTCTTCATATTATTTAATTTCAGTCTTAATTACAAATACAACGTAAATTGTGGCTTTATGAAACTTCAAAGTTTTATAAATCTGTAAACAACAAAGGATACCAAAGTCACCAAATTCCGGAACGAGATTCAAATTTTTTTTTGTCAGAATTCATTACAAAAGCTATGAATATACGAAATATAATGCCAAAAATTGAATGCTAATAACAAATATAATTTTTTCATTCAACTAATGACAACTTTTGTCAGTTCAAAAAACTTACTCAATTAGCAAGCTCCTTGACAGCAAGCTTGCAAACGTCGTGAATGGCCAACAGGTTTGCAAGACAAGCACAAATATGAATGTTGTTTGATGCATCGTCACGTCAATCCTTGAAAACCTGTTTCAAAATTAATATATGTTAATTTTAAAAAAATATTGATAAAAATTCCTTGTCCTAAAACTGAAAAGTGGAGAATCGGACATAAAAGGAGACAATTAAATACGGAGTTTCTATTATAATATCCTTGTATTCAATTTTGACATTTAAGAGTTTAGACTATTCAACTTTAAGGATCAGATGATGCTCAAACTGTGCATACAAATCTATTGAATCTTTGAATATGGTTTCTCTTGAGAAAAAAAAATTCACTATATTTCTTTTGTAATAATTGGAATTCAGAAATCAAAATTCTCATTTAAAATTTTATAATTCTCATAAATACAAAATGAAATTGATGCAGGAAGAAAAGAGTGAGTAGAACAAAAATTAAAATTCTCTTGAAAATTTAAATACAAAAATAATGTAAAATTTAGTTTTGATTTTAATTGCGAATTAGGTGGAGAAAAAAATAATAACTATGAGTGGTTTTGATTGACTCAATCAGAATAGTCAAGTAATTGATAAATTGATGAAAAAATCTCCAAAAAGAGAAGAATTATGAGATTGTAGATATGAGAAGTGACACAAAATAAAATTATACTTACAAAGAGGAAGTTGTGTATGAAGAAGAATCAACATCAGAAAGGAGAAATTTAATAGAGAAAATGAGTAATGGTTGAGACGTTTGTAAAAAGAAACAAAAGATATTTCATAAAGTATGAAAAGTCGAACTAAGAAAGAAGGAATGAGGAGGGTCTTAGGTCTCAGTGTTGGTATTTGTTATGAATCATAAAATAAATGGTGAAGAGTCTGGAAAAATGCGTTAGAGAAAAGGTGAAAAGCGAAAAGAATTGGGCATATATTGAGGAACAATAAAGAAGATCTTAATCCAAACTCATGATTTGTGACCCAATCCAAAATCCATCTTGACGCAAAATAAAAAAAAAACCCAAAGGATTAACTTATTCGGCTGTGCGGCCCATGCCCATAACTCATTACAACCATATCTTATATGAGATAAATTATACGGGTTGACAAGTTGAATATGGCTTGCCTTAAAAACTATTACTAGAAATACAATTTCTCATTATATTTTTCACAATAATTGAGACTTAAGAATCAAAATCCAAGCTTAAAATATTATACCTCTCATACTTGAAAATTGTAATTCCTCATCATTTTATTGATAATATAAATTATCAAATTCAAAATGAATCCTAATCTTTTACAAAGAATGTGTCAAGATGAATGAGCAAAGTGAGTAGAATAGAAATTAAAATCCATGATAAAATTAGCCTTGATTAATGTTTTTAGTAAATCATAGATTCATAATGTTGTCGCACAGTAAGTGCACTGGTCGAACAAGTAATAAAAAAGTGAGTAGAGTATCATGCTCACGAGGATCAGTGTCTCAAGCACTAATTTACTATTTTTACTTAAATTGTATAATTTGAATGAGAGAATTAATTTAAAATTAATTAATAATT